GCTAAGACACAACAGCACAGAACATTTTAGCCAGAATGCGTAACTGCATCAGGCCACTACTCTGCCAGCTAGTGTACCTAACTACATGGCTGTGCAAGCTTTTTTACACATTGGTTACATTGATTGGGCAGCACAACCGGACTGTTTGTGAAGTGGATTTGTGGCATGTTTTTTTCGCTGGATGCACATGCTTCAAATGTAGCTCTGTGTGAGTCTAAGCCAAAACAATCCCTAAATTCAATCTGTTAACAGCTCCACACCTGCAGGGCCAAAAAATAATAGGCCTCAGGATCTATGATTAGGAGACACATGGGAGAATAAGCCGTCTTTAGCCTATCACTGTGCCAAAAGGAGATTTGTAAAATATTCAACTAAGATGCAACAAAATTTGTCAAAGGAGATAACAATGCTATAATGCTGAATCCCCTTTTTACAGCCCAGGTGGCCTCGAGGTAGCTGGAAACCTAAAATGGCAACAGGTTTTGTTTTAATGTGAACTGTTGACAGTACAGGAGTCTTCACTGTGTTATTTTAAGACAAAACAAAACAACCCCCCCACCACCACATCTGATTAAAAGGAATGCACATACCTCACATACAAATGTATATAGAAGAACGGTCCTGTTTTTAACATTTGCAGGGGGGGACCTCCACCATGTAGTCATACTCAAGTCATACAAGTTATACTCAAAGAAAACCAGTCATTACCACATCAGGGTGTCTGAATTGAAGTTTCTGCACTAAGTTGAGAGGTAAAACTATTTGTGTTACATTAGTATTGTATGGACTACGCAGATTCAATATGTGTGGTAAACATAAAAATATACTGACAGAACTATAAAAGCCACTTTCACAAGCCACCGATACGTATATGTGTCTTGTTTTGTTCTTTCTGCTTTGTACAGAGCTGCCCCATTCATCAAAGTCTCTCGTAACTAATTCATTATAGTGTAAAAAAATAAATCAGGTAATTGTATTTGTCAAGCTCATATTGCTTCACACCAGTCTGCCACTTTTTTTCCAGATGTCTAAAAAGAACAGATCACCGTGTTGCTGCGCGGCACAGGATCTGCTTATCGTTGGTTCTTTTCCTCTGTCACTGCATGAAGACATGATCGCAGAGAAAATGTCTTTCATAGCTAATTACAGCGCCTCACACTGCTTCTATATCAGATCAGCAGCTTTTCACTTTTACACCTGATCAGCAGAATTTTCCGTTGAGTCATCTACGTAGTGCCGTTCAAACTTTGGCCACTTCAAGAAGATGAGTTGTGAGTTGCACTGCACTCAGTAACGATTTCACCATGAAGCACAGATGTAGTACAGTGTTGTACTTTCTCTGCAAACTCTGACATATGTACGAATGTCTATTTGTTTACCACAGTGCATCCTTGTGGATGCTCTAAACCAGCAAAAAACTTTCATCAGCCTGTCCTGCACAACCTTCAGTGTGTGTTGTTGCCGCAAATAGTGCAGACGTATGCTTTTACCAGTGTATAGTTAAGCAGCCATTACAACAGGTATGGGTTGAAGTGGAGTCACTTCTCTGAAAAAGTTTAGCCAAGCGGGACTGTAACACCTGTTGTAATCACTAGAATGGCTTGTGCCTACGTGTTGTGCCATATGCCAAACTTGAGCGCCTTTTTTCATAGTAGCTCTACGCGATATTCAATGTACTGGTATTTTTTTCTAAGGATCTGTAAAAGTAAATGATTGTATTAATCTGCCATGTAAAATACTGTAAGTATTCTGTCGCTTTTTTTAATGAATGTGAAATCATTAAAATCAGTGTGGTCCTACACAATATATATATAT